AAGAAGCCGAAGTGTCGTGACCATGGATCTAAGTGGTAGTCTCCTGTGTTGAGAAATAGGTTGTTATTTTGTGAAAGGAAAAGATCATGTATTAGTTTCAAAAAAAAAAATCTTTATTTTTTCAAAGGAAAAAAAAATGATCTTTCAAATTATAGAGAGGTTACGTTTAAAGAAGGTCGACTACCATACCGATACTTAAAAAGTGTGTTGGATAATTATTTTGTTTTTAATTCATATTTTTTTTTAGATATTTTCTATATTTTGTTATCTACTACTTAAAAAGACGTTTCTTAAACTATAAACCAAATTTAAAAACTCATAAAAATAGTTTTAAAATTTGATTTTTTGTTTTTGAAATTTGAATGGTTTTAATAGAAAAGTAAAAAAACATAATGAAAAAATGATTAAAAAACACATAATCTTCAAAAATTAGAAATTATAAAAGAAAATAGTTATCCAAGGTGGTCTAAGGTATCTCTACTTATTCAATAGGTTATGGATTCAAATCTTTTTCCTACATTTTTTTTATATGTTATATTCTTAAAAAAAAATACCTTAATAGAAATTTAAGTACACCATATGATTTTTACCATTTACCTCAAGAGCATAGTCATAAATTTTCTAAAGGAGGTAAAATTTTATGATCTAATTTTTTATGTATATAATCTTTTAATTTTAAAAATTTAGGAGAGACAACCTAGAAAAATACCGTAAAATCTTTAATATTTTAGATATACTTTTTATATCACAATAAAGTGTGAGGTAACAATTGTCTCATCCTTTCTCCTTCGTTCTGCCTTAAATTTGTTCAGATTTTATCTAAAATGTATTATACTAAGAAAAACAATTAAAATATTTACCAGTTTGAATTAATATGGGATAACTTTCGAATCACTAAAATAGAATGAAAACCCCACATGATGAATATTCTTAAAATAATTGAAAATATATCAACCGTTTAATTGTAAAAATTGAATTTATTTCAGATTTGAGAGGCGGAAAGTAGTTTTCATATTAGCGACAGGTTGGAAAATTGAGCTAAACTTTCTTCAGTTTGACTTTACAATAAGAAATTGCAAAGTATTGAAAGTTACCTTGATATTTTTCTTCTCAAAAGATTTTATTGAATAAAAAATATTAATTGATGGCATATTTTGTAAAAAATAACTTGGCTCCTGTCGTATATCACAAAAGTACTGTTAGCATAATTATTATTATTAGTTAGTGAGGCTATATTAATCTTTTCATATTTTCTCAGGAAAAAAAAACTTTTCATATGTTTTAGATTTTAGCTTATATAATTATACATCATATTGTATATTTCATTGTTCGTTCCTTTTGTTAAGAAAACAATTTCTAGTTCCCTCATTTTCTCTACACTTTTTCATGATGTTCGAGACTCCATCCTTGTAGAATTCATTTGATTCGTTTAATAATTGTTAATTCTATCAACAACTCTCGTGGATCGAACTTTTTAAAAATATAGGGACTAAAATAGAGTTTTAAAAGTACATAGAATAAGATGGAGAAGAGTTGAAAGTACGTACTAAAATAGATGTTTAAAGTATAAAAATCAAAATAAACGAAAGTTAAGACCAAAATAATATTCAAACCTAATAAATATTTTTTTTTTTTTAGTTTTTCGAATCTTCACCCCACATGATTTATGTACTTTCACCATTTTGATCTTTATATGCCTCCAAATGTCTATTTTACTTCATAAATTTAAACTTTTGTTTATTTTAGTTTATACTTTCAAAACATCATTTTAGTTCTTATACTTTTAAAAGATGAACATTTTATTTCTACGGCTGGATATCCACTTTGTCATAAGTTTTGAAAAATGGTTCCATATTGCTGAATATTTTCAAATTGCTACACATGAATGGAAATGAGTTCCAAATCCGTACTCGAACCAAGATGCTCTAACAATGCTTCCTAAGAGCAGCGCTTCTAACAACTTTACCTATTATTATTGAATTGTGGGGATGGAAAGAATAGAATCAATTTTTAATTTAATGTAATATTTTCTATAAAATAGTGGAGGGGATAAACAATTATTTTATCTTTAAATTTGAGCTTCCACATTTTATTTTCATTTCATTTATAAATTTTTATTGCCATATATTGCCATACCCTTCCCTAGCTAGACTATATTGCCTGATTAGAATAATCAAGTGCATTGACTAATTCTTATCACTAATTTTATTATTAAAAAATATTTAGTTTTCAAAAATTAAATATATACAAATATTACTGAATGAACTCTGAATTTCAAGAAAGGATATTGTTACAAAAATATAAAGAGTTGGCCTTTTCTTTTTAATAAAACTCATGATAGACACTTTTTCCCTTTAATTTGGCCATTTTAAAAAACCATAAATTGCCGTTTTCAATTGCTATCTTTCTTTTTCATTTTCTTTAAAACAAAATGACCAGACAAGTTAAATGTTGACTTTTAAACATCGTTGGAAAGTGGGAACTATAATAAGTGAGAAAACAAGAAATACCCAAAAAAAAAAAAAAAAAAGAACACAAGACTTGACTGGTGACAAAGAGTTTTGTCTCATATGTGAGTGCTATTTTTTTTTTTCTTTTTGATTGTAATGTAACTGAATTCTTACCTTTTTTTTTAAAATTTTATTTGACAGTAAAATTTTTCTTACCTGAGAAAGAAATAAACACAAAATAAACCATTAATAATTTTTAAGTGATGTTTTTATTACTAAGATGTGAGGTGAAGTACTACTTGACTGAAATATTTAGAAAAAAATATATTTGAACATATACTTTCTTTTAAAAATGAGGGAGAATAAACATAATAATAAGTTAGAATATAATACCGCAAAAAATTACTAAAAACCTTTCGTGGTCTAAAAATTTGTTCATCGTTTTTTTTAGGTTACAAATTATGGGTATGAAAATTTGAATTTCATTAAAGCACAACTTTAACTGTTCAGATATATATTTTGGATGGATTTCAATCTTGGCCCATTTTGAACTTCTAATTTAAGGAAAAAAAAATAGATTTACCAATTAAATTTCGTCACTTGATTTCAAATGTCGTGCTCGGAGAGGGGAAGGAAAAGAAAACGTCTACGTTCATTTATTGTTTAGGGAAATTTCAAAAATGTCATTTTTTTGGATTTCACAAATGTCATTGACTGCTCAAAGGGAAAAGAAAAAGAAGAGGAATGAAGATAAAGATGACGACCGACAAGATTTGCGTAATGTACAGATATCGCAACCTTGTGGCCCTGAAATATCAATTTTGTTACGTTCTGCTTAGTTCAATAATTCAATTGTTCAATATCGACAAATTATACCTGAAATTTACGCTCTTTCTTCTCTCTGTTCAACCTTTTTCCTCCCCCGAGAGAGATGGAACCCGACCCATTTCTTTTTTCGATCGAAGAGTTTGTTCCCATGTCGCTGTAGAGAAACCCACCAACCCTTTAATTGAGCACCGTAGGATCTTCTTTCTGATGAGCTGTTGCGTTGGTTGAGCCTCTGATTGAGGGCGGGAAGAGTATTTTAAGTGTTTTTTCTTTGGTCGTGTTTTTTAAAACTATTTTTGTTGGGAGTTTTTGAAAGAAAAAAAGGCTGGTGATGGGCCATGGCCAATCCACATTGCAACAACCACTTTTATTCCCTCGGCTTTGCCTTCATCTTTACTACTACGACTTCAGAAAGCTGGAACAGTTGTCTACTCCGTTCTCTTTCAAAATCGTAGTGGATATGCATTAGAAGTTCACAACAGTTTCTTCCTTGATTCCTTCTGGAGCTTTTTCTCTGGTATTTCATCATCTTCACTTGCATTTTTTTTCGTCTACTTTTTCCATTTAGTTGTTCCCCCATTTATGTGTTCACATTTGTGATATGGGATTTTGAATTTGGTAAGAATTGGTAGATCTGGAACATTTAGAAGCTTATTAATGCTCAATTTTCATAGGTCGTAGAGCTTATTGTTTTGTTTTACTATATTGACTGTGTTCTGTGATTATTTTAAGGGATTTTCCAGCTCTTCCTTGGTAATGACTGTCATATTGGAAGTTATACGGTCCTCGCTGATTCTTGTAACGACTTTTTAAGTTCAATCAATTTTTGGGACTACCCCTTTGTTAATTCAGAGAAAACAGCATTGTTTTATGTTAGTTTTCAATGAAATGGCGTGATCGTGAGCCACTGTTTCAAAAACTAGTGGCTAAGATCTGAAATTGGTGATTTTGAAATGCGTCGTGTTTATGATAGGCTGACGGTCATTTGGAATTGGTACCTTCTTGGTTTCTATTCTGTTTAGTTTGTTTCAAGTTCAAATTCAATGTTTTCTTACGGACCTGCATTGGAATTTGCTAGTGTGTTGCATGGGTGCCAGTAGTTCTAGGGTCAAATAAGAAAAACTTGGGGGGGGGTTGCTTACTATGGAACTATTGTTGAAGTGGACAAGTCTTAATGAATACCTGCTTAGCAATGATATTAATGATGTTTGACCGACATGAAATTGATTATAGTTTATATTTGATACAGGCACTTTATTATTGAAAATGGGCTCTGGAGATTGGTTTAAGACGGTAATTCGCTTGAAGAAAGTAAAAACCAGCAGTTCAAAACAAGTTAAGGTATCATAATGCAATTTCTTTGGCTTAAACTGTGTCTACTTTAATTCGCTTTTTTTTATTTTTTTTATTTTTATAAACTATGATCCTTGTCTCTTCAGCAAGGAAAATAGGGGAAATAAAATGGCCAAGTTTCAAATGTCTCTCCATTAGTTCTTATTACCTCATTCTCATGTATATTGTACATGTCTATTACCTGGAAGAAGAATACTTGGTTAAGTAGAACACTGTTCTTATTAGAAGATGATAACTTTCCTTGCATAAAAGAAAATTGAGATTTATGATTTAGTTTTAAAGTCTAGCAGTTTCGAGTACATTTGCTGCTGCTTAAGAATTTTCAGAATTGCTGGAATTACTCAAGAAAGTTGGTCTTGCTTATTGATTACATGGTATCAATTAAGGTTGTTTCCTTTGGTTGAATAGAGTGCTGTTAAATAGTCATTCAAGCTGATTTTCCCTTTCCATAGGAGGTCTTCGTATGCTGCTAGGAAACTAACTGGATATTTACAAATCGATGTTCATATACTTCTGTCTTATTAGTTTTCTGCTTTGATATAGAAATCATCATCTGCAGAGAAATCAAATAATCTGCAAAAAGATTCCTCGAGGTTTAAAAATGGCGGTACTAATGGGAATCGTAAGTCTCTTCGTTTGCCAATTGAAGATGTAGCTGCAGTTCGGATTCAGACAGCATATCGAGCATATTGTGTGAGTTACCATTTATCATGCCCTTCTTCCCCTCTAAAATGTATAGTAGATGGGTTTGTTAATAAGACATGCTCCTACTGTTTCTTTCCCATTTGCTTTTTATACATGTTTTATCATTAGTTTCATAACCAGGATTGATGGGACAGCATATTCTCTGTGATAAAGAACCATAGTACCTATTCTTTGTGATAAATAAGCATAGTAGACAGTGTTTTATTTTCTTCACATAACTGTTTTTGCTGCTATATTTTCACCTATTACAGGCTAGGAAAAATTTACGTCGACTGAAAGGAACTGTGAGACTGCAGAATCTGACTCAAGGCTATTCTGTTAGAAAGCATGCTACATCTACATTAGACTATCTTCATTCATGGAGCAATATACAGGCTCAAGTTAGGGCCCGTCGACTTTATATGGTGACAGAAGGACGACAAAGACAAAAGAGATTAGAGAATCAACGAAAACTTGAGGCTAAGCTTCATGATATAGAGGTCAGTCCACTGCTTCTCGTATGTGCTCTAAGTTATCCTCACATCTACTTCGTTTTACTTTTATTTATACAATTGTTATTTTCTATTTTGTTCGTGATACTTATCTGCGACTATCCATACAACTGTCGCTTTTCTTGATTTATCAAATATCTTTTGAACTTCAATTTGCTGTAGTTATGTTAAATCTAGAAGCCTCCAAAGATTTTGACAGAGAATTTTCAGATTCCTTCTTAATGGGAAAAAGAAAAAAAGGATAGTGTCTGTAAATTGCAAGCGATTTATTTATAGTCTAGAAATTTGTTTAATGTTAGATCAATTATGCTTGTTTTTATCTGTTTATGATGGCTCTGTAGTGTTGTTATTGGTGGGTTTTGATGTAATCTAGCTTTGTTGTGAAGTTTCATTGTTATACAAGGCTTACTGTCCCAAACATCTGATTCCTGAGGTCTATCAAGTTTGATAATTCATAAAATATTCAGAAGCTTAGCCAATATATCAGTTGTTAAGCGTTGAATGTTACATTTTTTTTCATTTTCCTTTACAGAGATTAAATGATTATTGGCATATATGACCATCCTGTTAAGCAGTAGTTTGAATGGATTGCAGGTGGAGTGGTGTGGCGGTGCAGAAACCATGGAGGAGATTCTTTCAAGGATACACGAGAGAGAAGAAGCAGCTGTTAAGCGTGAGCGTGCTATGGCATATGCATTCTCACATCAGGTATGTACTCACTGAAAATGTTATATTTTATACATCACGGCTCTCAATCTCCATTTATGAGAATGGACTGAAAATCATTACCCAAAACCCATGAAATTTTCAGTGGAGGGCAAATTCCAGTGAGATCTATGGGTTGGGCAAAGATGAACTTGGTAAAACAGATTGGGGTTGGAGCTGGAAAGAACGATGGATAGCTGCTCGTCCATGGGAAAGCCGTGTACCGTCTCAGTTAGTTAGTCCAAAGAAGTCGACAATTAGGCAGTCGAGCAAAGTCGGTAAGAAGATAAACTCACCATCTCCGAGAGCACGAGTTTTGGTTAAACCTCCTTCCCCGAATGGGAAATCAACTCCAAAGGCTCGGAGGTTGTCTTATCCAGCTGCCGAGAAAACCGAGAAATCAGCTACAGAAGAAAAAGGCAATAAAGGTGGTGAAGGGAACACAAAGAAGAAAGAAGAAACAGTGTCATAATCGACGCCATTTGTAGACTGCAAATTGTGTTCATATTTTTATCAAGGAAAAAAACATAAAGATGAAGAAGCCATTTGTTTTCTGTATGTCATTTCTGAAGATGTTCATTCATGGAGTGGTGTGAGGTAATGTATTTTTGGCATGCAGACTGACCCCATGTCATATTATTTTCTTACATTTCCTTCCCTTTTTTCCTGCTTTGTATATTTGAAAGAAGAAGAAAGACAGTATTACATAAATTATAATGTATACGAACAGTGTTCATGATTTTGAAATTATTTGGTAGCTTGATATTGTTATGTAACCTCCACTTCTGGGTGGATCTATGATTTTGCTGAAATAGCATAAACGACTTCGAAATACTACTTTATTTTCCTATACCTAAACAACCAAAATAAAGAACAAAAAAGAAACCTTCGTGATTCACACCCCTTTGTATAAAAGTCATGGCCTGTTCTGTGATCATATTACACCTGTCGTCCTCCTTCGCAACCCATGTTCGTGCAGATGCAATAAGTGGATAATGGGGTGATGCAGTTGCCTTAGAAGTTAGAATATCCATGGTGGGTATCTAAACGTGTCAGTAAACAGTGGCAAGAGTCATTCTAATGCTTATTTATAATCTTCTTTGGAGCGATAAGTAATGCTTGTGATTTTTCTTGTTTTCTGCTTCCAATCCCAGAGGCAGAACCAAAATCATCGTCGCAACCAATGCGCACCAATTGTCCTACTTCGCTCGGCGGTCTCATTTATTGATGGTTTATTGGTGAGGAAATCGGGAGGGCTTTAAATTCATGATTTCAATATTCAGAAGGCTATTGAAACCGTCGCTGTACACCAAACGGGTCTCAAAGCTCATGGATTCTTCAGAGTCCCCTGGGAATGGGAGCTCACGAAAGCTAATCGCCTTGTCACAGCAACTCCGCCTTTACAAACCACCGCCATGTTTGGACGACGTGGAGGAGCCAAGCAGTGAGGAGAGTAATGGAAAGGTTGTTTCTCAAGTGGGTTTTCCGGAATCGGCTGCCCCGATTTCTCGAGACCCTGAGATATTCAGACCCAAGAGAGCGGCTGTGTTGATTTGTCTTTTTGAAGGGAGTGACGGCGATCTGCGGGTCATTCTCACCAAACGATCTTCGAGATTGTCTACTCACTCGGGTCTGTACAGTTATGGTTTACCCTTTTGATTCCAACTGAATCTGGTAAAGAGAAGGAAGATAAAGGAAAATTTTGAATCTACTTTTGATTTTACGAAAATGGAAACAGATTCGTACCTCTGTCTGTTGCAGTTTACCTTCTCCTTTTCATGAGAATTTGCCTTGCATTGATGCTCGAAATTTTGTTAAACAAATTTGGGGCGAATTTGTTTGCAGGTGAAGTTGCATTGCCTGGAGGAAAAGCAGAGGAAGGAGATGAGGATGATGGGGCGACGGCGACAAGAGAAGCAAAGGAGGAGATTGGTTTGGATCCTTCGCTTGTTAATGTTGTAGCAGTTCTTGAGCCATTCTTGTCCAAGGTCTGTACTCTCTCTCCCCCTAAATTTTTTTGGACGTGCAATAACTGATAAGCAATCGATTCAATATTCATCATTGTGGTGCAGAAAAGACATAATTCTGATATTAGGGACAATTTGATAAACATTTAAGGTAAAATAAACAAATTATACAGTGTCACAGTTGCAAACTTTGGTACCTTAATGCATGAAACGATCCTGCTGCGAAGGTTCTTGTGAAAATTTATTCTTCCAAATTGCAGACTTCAAGGGAAACTCCTGCTAATCCTGACTAAGAATGTTATTCATAAATTCTTCTACAGTTTGGGGACTTTATGGGTACAAAGAAAACGAGGATGTAGGGAAATGACGAATTTATAAAAGCATTTCAACGTAGTGAAATACTGGTAAATTAGGGTTTCTGATGATCAGGATATTGATTTTGTCATAGTATGGTCTTCTTAACATCGAGTATTGGAAAATCCAAGATATTTTCTTTCTTTACAGAAAAAACAAGAAGTGGTTGGTGTTAGAACTGTGTTGCTTTCAGTTTCAAATGCTTACTTTGATAAGGTATCAACATCTATATGAGTTTGTCTCTTGCTCCTTTGGAACTTGGAGAACTCAAACTTTCGTCAAGAAGTCACTCTTTCAGTGGTATTGCATATCCTTCTAAAATGAATCATGACAATGTAATCTAATGTCATATTTTTACATCATGGTCCAACTTACATGGTTTATATAAGGGATTCACCAGGATTGGGCTGTCTCTAAGCTTATTAGACATACAAAAATTATGCAATTTTAGCTGCAGCAAGAAGCATTTAATGACTAGGGCTTGTGATGATGAGTTCAATACAAGTTAAACTTCTGTTTTCTTTGCAGCACCTCCTAAGAGTGGTTCCTGTTATCGGCATTCTGAATGAAAGAAATGCATTCAATCCCTGGCCGAATCCTGCTGAAGTGGAAGCAGTATTTGATGCTCCACTTGAAATGTTTATCAAGGTTATGGTCTCTTTTTGTTGGAGAATAAAAATATAACTGTTCTCTGTTCTTGAACCCTTTATTTGATTGTCGATATAAGTTCTCTCAAAACATTTGATGCAGGATGAAAATCGGAGAGCGGAGGAGAGAGAGTGGATGGGATGCAATTACCTCGTTCATTTCTTTGACTATGAAACTGAGAACAAGAAGTATGTGATATGGGGCTTAACTGCTGGGATCTTGATAAGGGCTGCATCAGTTGTATTCCAAAGATCACCACCTTTTCTGGAGCAAAATCCCATCTTCAAGGTTCCACAAGTTGTAGCTAAAGATACCACTATGTCTTAGATTTGAGATACTGTTATTGGATTGTAGACTAAATTATAGTCCTGTGTTAGTGTGGTATTAACGGCAGACATTAACTGAAATAAGATGATGTAAATGTTTGATATGAATAAAAAGGTAGAAGATTCCGGATAATTTTGCACTCATTTGGATGCTTTTAAACTAGGAGCCAAAAGGTTTTTTTATTCAGAATAGAGGAAGCCAGCGGTATCATGTGTCGAGAAAGTTATCGTTGAGAGTGAACGCTCGGAACAAACTTGCTGCAGTTGCCTGCATATCGTTTTCCCTGGTATCTCTCTCTCTTGCCTTCTCTTTGTGACTTGCTGACTCTTTCTGTAACTTGAAGACCCTGTAATCTATAATTGCAGAACATGATTCCCAGCATGGAGAGGTTAAGCAGCCGTCGGTTAACAGGGCAGGCAGGTCTTCCCAGTTTCAGAACTCATTTTTAGATGATAATATTTCTTCACCATTGTGTATATTTCCAAAGTTCTGTATTGACGTTGGCTACAGAGGCTTATTTGATTAGTAGTAAAATTTTAAACAAAAGTATTATAATGAATAAACCGACTACTTGTGCTGTAAAAACTTCGGTATCATACGTACTACTCTTTCAATGTAAATATATTCTTCACCTTGACTATTTCTTGTATGCATTGCATAGACAATGACGGTCGTTTTTCTGACCTTATTACAGCAGTGATCATGGTACTCTCCATACACAAATGTATGAACTACATGTGCATTGAAAATCTTTAAAATTCTGCTCATATAAATAGAAAATGGAAACACTACAAAAAGCACGACGGTATCAATTTGTTACAACTTACAAAAGGAGTTGCAATGATAAGGCCATTTGTATTGCCTTTCTCAGCTAAATACCTCATAAAATTTCTCAATGACAAGTAAACCAGAATCAATGGACTCTAATGGATCTTTCCTAAGACGATGTCTTAAGCAGTTTGGAATGACGGTGGCTATGTCCTCAGCAGCTACTTTATCCCTTCCCTTTAGCGCTGCAAGAGCCTTTGCAGCTCTATTCGTCACTATGTCTCCTCTCAATCCATCAACGTTCAACTCGGCACAAACCTTGGAGATTTTCACCTTCAGATCATGATCTATCTGCACAGAAGAAAGCGAGCTTCTAGCTGAGGAAATTTGTTGCTGCAACTTCTCCTGCTCTGCCTTGTAAGATTCACGGAACTCCTTCGGATTCTGGTCAAACCGGGCTCTCTCCTCTACAATCTTCACTCTCAACTCTGCATCCCTTACAGTGCCAACTTGAGCGTGCATTCCAAACCGATCAAGCAGCTGTGGCCTAAGCTCCCCTTCTTCTGGATTTCCCGAACCAATCAAAATGAATCGAGCAGGATGGGAAATGGAAATACCTTCTCTCTCAACTGTGTTCCAACCAGAGGCAGCAGAATCCAGTAGGACATCAACTAAATGATCATCCAAAAGATTTACTTCATCCACATAGAGAATACCTCTGTTAGCTTTAGCAAGAAGGCCTGGCTCAAATGCCTTCACACCTTCAGTAAGTGCTTTCTCAATGTCAATAGTCCCACAAACCCTATCTTCAGTAGCACCCAGTGGCAGATCAACCATATTGATCTTTGTCATCACCACCGAAAGTTTCTCTCCTTTTCCCAGGCTTTCCCTCACTTCAATACCCATTGATTCAGGGTCCTCAGGGTCAGAATTGTAAGGATCCCCAAATACAGCTTTGATTTCAGGGAGCAAATCAACCAGGGACCTAACAGTGGTGGATTTTCCTGTTCCTCTATCACCCATGATCATGACACCTCCGATTTTTGGGTCAATAACGTTCAGAAGAAGGCATAGTTTCATCTCATCCTGCCCTACTATAGCAGCAAATGGATAAACAGGCCTCTGACTTTCTTTTGAGATATTCGGGGCCTGAAATATTACAAATATGACTCTCACTCATCCGATCTCAAAACAAATCCAGTCATTTTTTACATTAATTTTTTCACTGGTAGAAAGTTTTCCCTTCTTTTTTATTCTAAAGAAACATATAGATATACTAAAAGAACTGTCTAAACCAAGATTCTTCAAGTTCATTGACCAGTACAGGTCTTACCAAACATTTTCATCGACTTAATGCAATAGTCAAGAAATTGTTTGGCAAAGGCTTAAAATGGTATGTTATCAATTCTAACCAGTTTACGGTTATTTTACTAAAACTGGACAGCATTCCATATCCAAGCAGATCCTTATATTAACAGTGCAGTTTACAGTTAGCTTATGCTAGCTTACTAGAATCGGGGGGACAAACCTGCTCGACAGTGTTTATTTCAGTCGCAACATTGCATTGGACCTGAGGCCTTCCCTTCTTCCCCTGAATCCTAATACTTCCAAAAGACTTCTTCCCGTTACCATGACCTGCAAAATTACCAACTGCTTACATCTCTAAATTCGACGAAAACTGCTGAAACTCGAGATTCGCATCGCCGGAATTTCAAACATTAGACCTCAGAAGACGAATAAAAAGAACCAAAGATGAACGCGTTAAAAGACGACAATAAGCAAAAAAAGCGAAAAAGAGTACCTGGGGTTAGAGAGAGTAGAGGGACGAAATGCTTGGGGGTGGGAGAAGAGAGGGATCGAGAGGCTAAGATCGCAGTTGAGGAAGATCCTCCGAGAGCGAATGCCATGATCGAGTTCTCCAACTATGGCTGCCACTCGCCGGTGGTTCGTTCCCAACTTGAATAAATGGTTTGTATTGATTTGTTAGGTTGCGGATAAGAGAGGATAGATTTCACTCCAAATTTCTGAGCGTACTGCTGCTTCTCCTTCTGTCCCTGCCTGGCTTAGTCATATCGCTACCTTTTTTTCCTTTTTATTAGTTTCTAAAATTGTTTTTAATATTTAAAATATTTTTCTAAAAATATATTCCATTGCTAATGAATAAGGTTATTTTTTTTAATGACTATAATGGCCACTGTGTGTTAATAATATCTTCCACTATTTTGGAGTAAAATATATATTATAGTAGTGATGAGGAGCTACTTCTTCTCCATTTTTTTCTTTTTTCTTTTTCTCTTTTAAGAGATATTGTGGGGGGAATTATAAACTTATTTTTGGTTAAATGGATAATAATATAAATTAGTAGATGAATTGATTATTCTAATAGACTAATTATAGTTTCTCAAACCGTGAACTTAAAAAAGGAATACTCACAAATATGATCCAGTGATCCAGAGGAAGAATTAATAATTAATTGTAAATATTTTAACATGAAGTTAACGGTCAGGATATCTTGCTCTCTTATAGGTTGGAAATTAAAAAAAAAAGAAAAGGAAAAATTTGAGTTAAAAAAGGTTACCATTTTTGCAAAAAAAAAAAAAAAAACTGTTATTATACTTATAAATATAACAAATATTTTTTTATACCCACTGAAAATACCGAGATTTAAAATCATAACATATGCCCCCATCCCAATTATGAATATTGTCAACCCTATAAAGTTACTCAAATCTTATGAAATCCAACTCATTAAAAACATTTTAACACTACTTTTTTTGTCTCAACCAGGATCATCCAGCAAATTTATTGTCCAAAAAACACATAGAAAATTAATTTTTAAATAAATAGTCTATCATGAAGTTTGAACAAAACAATTTTACTCTAATATCGCCTAAAGAATTCTGGTAGCTAATCATGAATCTACCATGAAAACTAAGACTAAACTTTTTTTTCTTGATATAGACAAAAACTTAACCAATAGAAGGTATTAATGGCCTAATTTATTTAGTGTAAGGTAATTAAAAAACTTATTCTAATATATAGTGATAAAATTAAAAGTCTAAAATTAAAATTCACTCCCTTCACTAATATATTGAAAATCAAAGGCTGCCCTAATTCTTTTTTTTAAAAAAAAGAGAAGAAAAAGAATGGTATTAGAAATGCCGCATTAACGCAGCCTTTTGAAGTCCGAGGTCAACTCCTGCAACCAATTTAGTGTGAAAAAGAAATAGTATTAGAAATCATCGTGCAGTCCAAGTATAGCCACGTCATGTCAGCGGCCGTCAAAATCATCGTCAACGAACTTCTTCATCTCCTCTCTGAAGGCGGGCATTGCAGTCTTTCTCAAAGCGATGGAGACCTTGAACCCCGCCGGCGCCTCGGCCTCGCTCGAATTTGCAGAAGAATGCGGCAAGAAAAAGCAAGGCTCCACACTCCCAAGAAGCGAACGAGAGAGTGGCAGCACCGTAATAGGACCTCCCCACCCAAAATCCACCGTCGAATGCCCTAAATGTCTCCAGTCTGTGAACGCGCTCACCTCCTTCCCCGCCGTTATTCCATCTCCATAATGAAGCTCTTGAAAGTCGATGAACGATCGAACATACTCCTCCGTTATGTTCATTTTGCTCCTCTGGATCTGCTTCGCCGTCTCCCAAACGGGTTGCTCTCTGAGCTCCTCGGCTGTGAGTTCAATGTATATCGGGACGCAACCATTGCCCCAGTAACCCACCGGCAATGGCGGCTTTAGGGTTTTGCGGATGTTGGTTGAATACACGAATTTCACTCTCTCACGCCCTCCAATTTCTGAGGCATTCACCCTGAAAAAGCCCCAAATGTCAGGACAACAAAGACCAGCCACAAACATTTAGCAGAATTAGTAGAATTCGACTCACTTGGCCCGCCATATATATGCTCCCAATGCTTCAAACGTGG